GATAAAAATGAAACTATGGATACAAAACTGCATCTCTGGTTAAGAGGCACAATCTCGCCTCCCTCCAAAACTGAATAGGAAATTACGTATCTTTAGGTTGATTATTTTAAAGTATGCCTTTATCTGATATTTTGTTTTGGTCCAGTCTTAACGGTCGTTCAGCGTTTGATGGCCGACTAATAGCACTGTGGTTCAAATGAACTGCCGAAACGAGAATGTTTGTTGGTAATGCCGCTTTGCATTCAATTTGTCTTCGTTTTTGTGGTTTATTGCATTTAGGGGTGTGTTGCAACGCTTTCTAAAAGACTTGGCTCCAGATGGCAATTTAGGGGGTTCCAAATTTCTTCGATGACAGAAAAGACACTTTTTCAACTCTGGGTATCGCACCATCTCGCTGGAGCCACCCCCCGTCCCGACCGGGCCCGTGAAATCGCACCAGGGCGGTGGTGATGTGGCGCTGTAGGTGTGCTGACGGGATCCTCAATTTCTTTCTCAAAGAATCATCTACTATAATAGTCACGATTTGAATGTGGGATCACTGTTTACTGTGATTGCGTTTTATCCTGTTTTGGCATTGCATGGCAATTAGAATGCCGCTGCAGTCTTAATACTGTGAAAATATACATATCACTGTCGAGTAAAGCATGGCTAACTTTCATCTGAAAGAGCTAAAGATGCACGCTGAATAAACGTTGGTTTCGCGCAGCCTGTTGTTTCACTTCCAGCCGTTTCTACCTGGTATTATCATATTGTCAAACCGAGAACCTACAGCATTTACGGGAGACGTCACTCATTGTTTCTAGTACATGTTCTTACGGGAAGAAGGGACAAATGTTAGGGCGATTACGTTCACGTGACTGGGGATCAAACGATAAATGTGCCGTCCTTCACATTGGCAATTTTGTCTTTATGTCACAAGGACTGCTTTCTTAGTTGTTATGGTACGAGCCGATTCATTTTAGGCATTGAAAAGCGAGTACATCTTAGGTTGGGCGGCTTAACAACAGGGATAAGATTGCCTTGCAATCCAGAAACTGTCTGATGCATCAACCACTGGTGAGGCGTTACAGATGGCTTTTTTAAGGAAGGGTCGTATTACCTTACGGATAGCATGCATAGCTTAAGCTCCGACGGAACAGATGGTATGTGGTGAGTGATCTCTTTCCCGGGAGTAATAGATGTCTCCTAATGTTTTTCTTGTCTCGGAGTCTTTTGAAGGTTGTAGATATTATGCCTGAGAACATCTGGAAGTTTCCAGAATTCTATAAACCGCGCGCCGTGTTACATCACGGCGCGAGGTCCTTTCCATACAAATTTGAATAAATGTGTAAAATTTTCGCCGTTATCATTGGCCAATGCGAACATAACATGAGTGCAAATGCAACAAACACTGACAACTGCGCAGGCGAGACATATCCATGCAGGTTACATGATACATAACAGAGCATTAGTATATTAAAGTTGATCCGTAAATAATGCTATTCATGTACAAACTCGCTCTGCCTTTATCCGCACTAACACTCTTCAGGCAGACGGTGACGCTGCTTGTTGAGCTTGAGAACAGCATGCGCCGGGCGTGGGCCCGTTGAGACCGTGAGATTTATTTGTTTATTGGTTTATCTCCTTTCAGCTCCAGTAGAGCAGCATTCTACGAACAGGCGAAATCGTTTAAATGAAATAAATAAATTATACAGCACACAGTAGCATGAACATAAGTAAGGGATGACATATTGCAAAGCTAAATCAGCATGCAATAAAGTTCAAACGTGAAGAGTTCACGATGGCCCTAAGGCGTGCTTCCGACCAGACCAAGTATTTTATCGATATAACTGAGCTCGGACATGTGTGTAAACTTAGGGAACTCGGCGTAACGCTAGATACCAAAGTAACCCTCGCTTCACATGTCTCTGACATAATTAGTAGGTGCAATCCAGCACTTGGTCTCATTCGGTCATTTCAAGTAGATACCAGCAGGTTAAAGTTCAACCGAAACGCATCCCTGAAAAACATCTTCCAAAAAGAACTGGACTCTCGAATCGTGCTAAGCTGTTTCCCCTTGCTTTTGCCAACTCGATCAACCCGCACCCGAACTCTGTTCGCTGTACCACGCGCTCGCGTGCAGAGCGGTCTGTTTGTGCAGAGCGGTCTGTTTTGCAGAATGTCGAAAGTTGGGAATATTTTTGTAGCTAGCAACACTAGCGC